TTCAAAAATGTTCAACTACCAAAACACATTTAAAGAAACAACCACTTAATGTTCAAATTCAAGTTACTTACAGTGACAAACAAAACCGAGTACAAAATCTGAAGTGCCAACTTTCAAGAGCAATTACAGAAATTTCAATGATTGCTTTATAAATCTGAAAGTTACATGGAATAATACACACAGTCTTGTACACATGTACAAAGTTGCACATCAAATTGATAACTAAACATCCTTCTACAAAGTCAAATCAACAACTATGTCTTGTACTCAGTATTGTTCAAAGAAAATCTTCAAACTTCAATATTTAGTCCAATAACCTTTTGCTTCCAAAACAGCTGAAATCCTTCTTGGCATACTTTTGTATAGTTTCTCACAATCTTTTGCATCAAAACTAAGGTAAATACTACAAACATTCTCCTACAATTCTTGAACACCTCTTGGCCTTGAAGTGACTTGGCTTGAACGCTGTTTGAGAAGGGCCCAAAAATGTTCCATTGGATTCAAATCTGGAGATTGAGCTGGCCATCGAAGGAGCTGAAATGGCTGTGAAGAGAGCCAAAACTGAACACTTTTTGCCATATGTTTGGGATCATTATCATGTTGAAAAACCACCTTAGTAGGATCTAAGTTGTAATTCTGTGTGGTACTTTGCAAGTAGGTTTCTAAAATTTTTTTGTACAAGTGTTGCTCCATTCTACCTTCAATTTGATACCAAGGACGTGGCCCAAAAAGCAGTCATACAACCCCAAATCATAATTGAACCACCACCATGTTTGACAATTTGACTAACATGTTTAGGTCCAAGTCGTTTTCCTTCTCTCAACCAACACCAAGACCTACGATCTAAGTTGATTAGGTTAATCTTTGTCTCATCACTGAAAATAACCCGTCTCCAATCATCAACGGTCCAATTTTTGTATTTATGAGCAAAACTCAACCTTGCAAGAACATGTCTTTTGGCAAGTAGAGGCTTCTTTTGTTGCACACAAGCACCCAAACCAGCTTCTCTCAAACCACGCCTCAAGGTGATGTCTGAGAAGTGTTTACCTGTTTTTTCTCGAAGTTGTTTTGCAGCTACACTTGCCGTTTTGAGACAACCAGTAGTGACAAGGTGCACACCAAGTCGCTTCTCTTGCTGTCCTAAAACCTTTGGACGTCCTCCTCTTTGTTTTTCTATTTCACCACTAATCTCCCTCTTCAAATGAGCTACTGAAGACTGACTCATTTCAAGTGAGTCTGCAACTTTTCTTATAGAAACACCACTCCTAAGCTGCACCAATGCTTGGTGCTTCAATGATTCACACAACCAAGGCATAGAGATACAATTGACAAATCAACTTTCACTATAGATAGTACACAACAAGAGCAACACAATAAACAAAAAATGCCCTCAAATCTTGCAACAAGGAGTGTACATTGAAATTTCGAAATTCAGCAAGAAGAAGCAACCAAAACTGAGTATGCACGTCTGTGTGCTTCTACAACACTTTTCTCATAAACCCTATCTCAAATGATAATGAGATTTTTCATCCATGTAGAGGACTGGATGAATACACACAATAAAAAAGTAATTCTATCAATTGACTTATGTGTCAGTTGGAAGGATCAATGAACTATGAGTGTTCAGATTTTGTACTCGGTTTTGTTTGTCACTGTAAGTATTATAAGTTATCATCCTACAAAAAATAATATAAAAAAGTAAGATTTAAAACTAATATCTTAAATTTTTATACAAATTAAGAAAATATCTTTATAAACAAAACATAACTTATAGAGGATTTTTTAAGCTTGAACTTGTTTTTTGGAAATATTATTTTTAAAGAAGACTTCTTGACATATAAAAACTTAATTATTTAAAATTCTTTACTTAATTTTATTATGATTTTTTAAAATTAAAAATAAACACGTGGAATTACATAAGAAGTATGGTTGTAAGTTTACAAAATGTTCTTCTTTCTATAGAGAATAGAATATCGGCAATGCTCTAGTTTTAAGATTCTTACAATAAAACTATTATTGAGATTATTAATTTGTATTGCATAATTAATTTTTCTTGATTTGAAACAAGTTATGATTAAAAGAAAATTTATTATAATATCAAATTTAAATTAAATTCTTCTATGTAGAAAAAGACACTTACCAATTATTTGATTTATCAAAGGCAACAAACTTAAGTTTAATGTTAGTTTTAAAAATTATAATTATAAATTTTTAATATAAAAGTAGATCCGTTTTTCACATTAAATTTTATTATAAATTATAAAATTATAATATTTAATAATAAATATTTATTTTTTAAGTAATTTATTTAAGCTTTAAAATATGTAATCCTAGTATTTAGTAAAAAAATATTTTTTCATTGATTTAAATTAAATAAATATAAAATAATTTATATTTTTTGTAATTTTTTAAAAAAATTATGGTTTTATCTCATCTTTAAGAAAAAATTAATAAATAAAATCCTTGTAAAAAATAAATTTTTAGTTACAAATATTATGCAAAATGTCATAATTTTGAATTTATTTCAAGCAAGTTTTAAATATTTTTTTAATCACATAAAGTTCAATTCCAAAAATATTTATATTAATATTATTTCTCTATAAAATCAATTATTTGTGTGAGAAAATACAACAATACATTGTGCACACAAAACACATATCTTGAATTTGTATATCACTTTTTATAATTTTCAAAATAAAATACAGAATCTTACATGATCTTTCATGTTCATTGCAAATAGTTTTCAAAAATTATCTATGAAAATTGTTAAAAATATTTAAATAAATAAATCATCAAGATTGTTAAATTCTTTTCTGACGCTTCTCCTCTGTCATATTGTCTTCATAATTTTTAATCCTGTTCAGCTATTTTACATGGTGGATCAGAATAGGCTCAAAGACATGTTTATTGCTAGTTTGTGATGTTTAAATGGAACACTATAGTGACTTGTATTATGTAGATATTCATATGAAAAAATTCTAAAAAATAAAAAATTCTAAGATATTTCTATTATTAGACATTTTTGTAAAATCAATTTCTAATATAATATTTTTAATCATTGGTCAAATTAATGAATGCATAATGTAAATAAAATCATATTATGTCTGTTTCAATTTTTTCAAGCTTATTTTTTTTAATATAAAATCTTATAACTTGTAACTTTTTTGTATAATATTAATCATATAAGTAGCAAGATTAGTGTAAAAATATCATAAATAATTTCATGAACAAATTTAGTTCTTTTTTTTCATAAATTATTCAAAATCATCTCAATTTTGCAAGTGTATTTAATGAGAGACTTAACAAGTACTACAGAAGTATATAAATCTAGCACATATTTTTATTAGGTTTCTATTGGATTAAATTTGTTGGTTAATCATGTTAACACATTATTGCTTACAGACTTAAACAAAATAGCAACCATTCTACGTGAAATGTTTCTAGAATTTTATCATATATACCTTAAAAGAAGGGGAATGTTAAATAGATCCATGTTTTTACTAAATCAACCCACCCTTGATGAAAAATATGGTAATCATGATGAATGTGGTTGGTTTTTATTGGTTGCAGATCTAATAGTGGAGAAATAAATATAGACTCTTTTATTTTATTTTATTTTTTTCATCATGATGGTTACGATGGGTAGGTCAATTTAAACTTTGGTCTATTTAACATTCCCCTAAAAAGAAACATCTACTTTCCTATCTTTCCTTTTTTATATAAATTAAATGAATAAATAAATATATTCATCCAAGATGTGAGAATACACGAAGCAATGACTGTACGGAGAAGGAAGGTGTTTGGAAACTTCGTCCCATCCTGACAACTGATAAGGCAGCATGGAATCGAAATGCCATGGAGGCTTTTTCAGGTCCTCGAAATGAGCACGTCGTCTGGTTTGGGCCGTCAGAAAAGGGACCTCGGCTGCACACTGCATTCGATGCGAAGCTTAGCGATCCCGCGCCATGCTTATCACCTCTCGTAGGCTTCTTCCGTAGATCGTCGTAGCGTCGCTTTCCCGATCCGATGCCGTCGCAGTGAATCCAAATTTTCAAGTCTCAGCTGGAGCAGATTCACGTCACTTACGGTCTGTTCCGCTCACTTCTTAAATTCGTTTTTTCTAAGTGTTTTGGTTGTGATTTGGTGCTAATCTTGCCAAACTGAATCAATGGTGAAGCTAGTGTGTTAGTTTGACTTTGCGCCGGTGTTTGATCTGTTCGTTGCCTAGGTTAGGAAGCGAGAGCATGCTTACTACATTGCGCACTGCTTGTTTATTAGTTCATGACTGTCTGTGTCCAATTGGATGTGCACTTCCAATACGTCGGTGATGTAGTTTGTTTGCACTCACATTGGTCGTGTAGTTTTTAATTTTAATTTTAATTTTTTAAATTAAAGGTTTGATGCTACGATTCGATTTCATGTGCGGTTGCTGTGGGTTTGCGAGACGAGGTGGTGGCATTCTACGAAGTTGTAGTTAGGTTTTTAGACTACGGCGTTTGGAGATGTAGTTTTGCTGTACGGTAGCTCAACGGTTGTTTGCAGTTGTCTTTCGTTTATTAATGATTCCCTGCATCGCTAATGTCGGTCGTAGCATTTAGGTTAGTTTCTTGTGATCATTTACTGCAAGGGATTTCAGACATAGTCTTGCTCTGTACATTTTCTTCGTTCGTTTCATTTTGTGAAACAGCTTGGCCTTCTGCATTTTAGATGATACTTGTTCAATGTATACTGTTGCCGATACTTCCTTTGTTTTTCTATTCTTTAGTTCAAGATGTCTAAAACTGTACTTTAATCTCTCGTTGATAGTGCTAGTTTGCCTTGTTCGCAGTGTACGAACTTGTGCAGGAAGTTAATGAGATTACATACGTGCCGCTTATGCCCTAAAGAATTAAGCTTAGTCTTATCCTGGAACCTTGTTGTGTCCTAGCTTCAATTGCTAGTGATGATTTGTAACATTACGTTTTCGGAACACTTTTTTTTTTTTTTTTTTTTTTTTTTTTTTTTGTCTCGTGCCTCATTTAGATCTACTGGAGATCGTTGATCATCCTGGAAATTTTTATGAAAATTGTGGGAGCTCCTGCGAATTCACCAGTCCTCGTCGTGTTTACTGCAGTCTCTTGTTAGTGTTAATCTTCTGCAGACACGAGCTATTGATTGGATGTTGTACGTCAAACTTTCCTTGTGTCTTTATCCTAGATTGGGATACATTACAGTTTGTTTTTGAAGGTCGTTTATCCTCTCCTGGATGTTTGTCGAAATTCTACCATAAACTTAGGATTGTTATTCCACCCATAAAAACTCATTTACGGCCACGTTTATCAGCCAAGATTGTAGCTAAAGCCGAAAGTAATTTTTCATTAGGCTCAGAGTTTGATTTATCTTTATTTCTTCTTACGGGACCCCTATCCCAGCCGTTGTAACCATCGTAGGGTTCGCAGAGATGGTGACAAGGTATGCAGCTATCGGGTGGTGAGGTTAACAACAAAATTCTGAAACTGCGTTGTGGTTGCTTTGTTTTGTATAGTGGAGGGCCTCCATGTGTAGTGTGCCTTGTGCGTACGGGATTTGTTGACTCATCTCACCATCTGTTACATCTGACAGTTGTCAACGAAATGCATTTTAGTTGTTTGAATTAGGGGTATGGGGAGTTCAATGGGGTCGCGTTTAAAACAGATATTTATCGTACAATCTTAGAAAGGATAGATGATAGAATGAATGTTTCTCTCTTGAAAGACACTAGGTTCCTGTCTTCCTTCAGAGACTAGCAGTTGTTCCATCTAACTGGTATACGATTACTTTGCAACAGAAAATAGCTGCCTTACAGATTCGCCCAAGCCTCGTCGGTCAGTTACACAAGCTTTGAAGTTTAAATTACGCTGCAAGGAGGGTCGCCGGCTTTCGATATAACTTGCTAGGTCTTGGTCCAGTCCAAGTCCCAATGAAATGGACAACAGTGGCATTACTTCCCGGCAGCAGAGAAGTTCAAGCGCCATAGTTAGCAGCAGCGACAATGTCTCGGGAAGTAGTTCCACAGTGAAAAGCGACACCAACCATTCTGTATTCGTTAATCACGGTAGTTCACCGGAAACCTCTGAACTTTTTTCATGTTGATCAGAACTCGGTCCTGCAATTGAGTCCTAGCTGGCGTTATGTTTCTTGTAGTCGTTTATAACTCATATCGATCGCAGTTGTCATCTATGGATATTTTGTCAGTATTTTTCAACTTCCAACCCATTTGAGGTGACCTCTAGTGTGAAATGACCTAAACAATGATCGGATGGTCTGTTGGTCAGACAGACAAGTTTTAAATGTATTTTCAGCTTCGTTTGTAATCTTTCTTGAATGAACTGTGTTTTCTATTTATGTATATATGTGTGTATATATTTTTTCAGTGCATTCCTTGTATGGCGAGGTCGTTTTTCTCTTGCGTTGTAAACTTGTGATCACTTAATAATTTGTTGTTAAATGCAGCATTGATACTTTGGAAAGAGAGACGACAGGAATGGGTGGGAACTCGACAGCGGCCCAAGGCTATGGAGCCTCGAGAGCCTGTTATTAGGTAAACGTTTTGACTCTTTTGGAACGATTTCTGGAGAATAGTGTTTTCTGTAGGTTGACTGTAATTCATTCCCTGTGCAAAGTCCATTCGTGTTTTATCATTTTCTCATGGTATTTCTACGAGCATTGAGGATATCTGCTAGAACTATTCTAAGTACACGGACACTGAATGTAAATTAGTGTGATAAGATTGGTCATGGAATCCTGTTTTATATTTTAAAAACTGTTCATGTCTGAAATCTTGAAAAATTCCATCGCAACTGAAGCGAAGTATGTTTTAGGATTTGTAGCATGTAGTATATTATTGTACTTACGAGTATGGAGCCTGATGCCATCCAGCTGGAGCACAACGTATGAGGATCTGCTTGCCACCAGCCGTCCCTTTGCACAGCGCATACCATTAACTGTAAGCAGCTATGCTCATACTCCATTCATTATTAATTTGTACATATCAGAGAAGCGTAAATGCCCGGAGCTATAATATCTCCACGTAGTTATGGGTCATTGAATTTGTGGGTAACTAAGTTTTTAGACGATGACTTTGAACATATCTGTGAATGTAATACTGATTTGACAAGTGGAACATTAGGAAATGGTCGACTTTCTCGTGGACGTATGGGAGCAAGAAGGCCTGTACGAATGATTTTATTTATGGTCAGAACTCAAGCTTGGATAGCTCTACTTCAGCAAACATACGGAAATTTTGGAAGATTTATACCAATTTGTTTTTGGTCCCCACTGAAGCACGGTTTCGAGTCTTAAAAGAAATGATCAAAATGTGCATCTTCTCTAGAGTTTGAAGTATGTTTCCAGTAGAGTTATGATGCTTAGTACTAAACGACTGGTTTTATCCAATTAGTCATGTACGTTCAGATTACCGGAAATATATCTTTGACAGAAGTACTGCTCCCCACTTCTAAGGCTCTCTTTGGCTTGGAGAATTAAAAGAATGGGAATCCACGAGTTGGCTTCATGATCAAAGACTATTACATGAACATACTCTTCAACGAAGCTTCTACCATTTTAAGGTCCAATTTGCTGTCAGATCCTTCAGTAGAGGTGTTGCATTGGAGATTCCCTTTCCATCTGATGTGAAGTACGTATGCAGACGGAGTTAGTGGTGCTGCTAGATCGAATTTATTGAACCGGAATCTTCAGCAGACACTTGGAAATTTTGAATACCGAACGTTTTTTATTCGTATTGGCTGATTTGGATTCTGTACTCAACTACATCCAAGTTAAATTGGAACCATTTTTAATATCTGCAAAGTCCGTCTATGTGCTGTCAACTCGGCACATTATTTTCCCGCTAATTGTAAATCCTTGTACGAATCTAATTGTAATCGTGTTTGGTGGAATCCGTGCATCTGTCCATGCCAAAGAATAGAACTCAACGGTCCTATCTCGATTGAAGAAGCGGAAGATTTAATTGGTTTGTGTATGGTCGTCATGTACCTCGTTACAGTTATTGCGTAAACTTCTAAGTAACGTGAAGTACAAAAAGCTTCTGAAAGTTTATTACAGTGATCTCTTCCTTGCTCTATCTTATGACGAAGGATTTTGTAATGTTTGTGAACTTCAGCCCTGAATGTTTCCAATCGGCTTTCTCCATGCTGTGAAGGTTGATATCTCTTATCACGGTTTGAGAAGACGGTCACATTATACAATTGCACTGTTCGATCACTATGCAGAATCTAATCTGACGGAGCCAATTTCAAAGTTATCCAAACCAGGACGTCTGTAAGGACTAACGTATTCGCATATCGCTGCAAAACCTGCGTGCTTCAGAGTGATGACCACCTCACGCATGAATCGTTTTTTTTAAGGTAGATAACGCAACAAAATTGTCATATGCTCACGACTGAGAAATTTGGTGACTGACATGTCTGTTCAAGCATACAGAGAATGGGCTGTTAGTTTAACTCGAGAGCCACCAGATAACTACAGTCAAAGCACTACAGAGTACAAGCTTGTGTTCGAGGGCGGGGACTTACAATAGAGGAGCACAGTGCCCGAGAATTTCCGGTTTTCAATGAAACAGTGCCACCAGTGGCCAAACCTCATCAACGGTAAAATCTTGGTGCAAGGCAATTTGCAAAGCCTCAGTAAGTTAGGGCTTATGGTAAGTTTTGTCGTGCAGACTTAGAGTAACGTGGTATAATGAGCTTCCGGCCAAACCCTGGAGTCACTGATGCACTAGGAATCGCAAGAGGAAATTGAAAGTGGCAGGGATGAGTACTCGGGAGTGGAATGCAGCCGACGCATGCACTTAGTCTCATGAATGTTCTCTACACTCTCGATCGCCACAATCCTGCCGCACTCACGCCCAAGAGCTGGGGCATCAGAATTTGAGAAGCAGATGCGTTCCAAACCCTAATGTTAGTTCTACGTTCTGCTTCCGATTTGCTTGCGAGTAGTTGCAAGCAGCGAATGTTGGAGCACCTCGCCAGATGTCGTTAGAAGATCGCGCTGGAGTTGCAGGTTAGATCACACTTAATTCATTTAGCACTCTTAGGAGTAAGGTTTGAAGATAAATGTACTAGAATTGTAAACCACTTGATTTCGAGAGCCGTTGGTGGAACAGAAGCAGATCCAGAAGCATATCCTAACTACGTGCAAGGTAATTGGGAATGTGTGGCCAATTCTATGAGTTTCGTTTTGATGGCGGCAATCTAACTAGTGTATGTGTAATTGCTGTTTGTGTGTTGTATATGTTTGGTTTTGTTACATGAATCCATCGTTTTGTTGTATTGACGAATCGTCTGGAATAAACCTCAATTTGAAAATAAAACTAAACTTGTTTTACAAGTAGAATTTGAGTGTCGAGTGCTCTAACCTTTCTTATTGATTTCGAGTGTTACTGATTGTCTTGAATCTCCTACGCCAATTAACATGTACGTAGCTTCAGCCAGGCACAGAAAGCGACAGAGATCAAATCGTCTATGCTCTTCTGAAAGGGTCTCGCCCGACATGATTCGCTTTGAGTTTGGAAAGCTTGGCAAGAGAAGAGTGCTCACCACGAGCGGCAACGGTGAGTTGGTAATCAGGCCTCTTGGGCCGAAGGAACCGTATGTAGCGATAAGCCACATATGGGGGGGCAATACCAACACCATCAAGGGTATAAAATGGAAAGTCGCAACTTGGATGTCCCTTGAACGTTGTAAAGCCTTGGTCAAATCTTACGACTGCGTCTGGATAGACAGCTTGTGCATCGACCAAGTTCATGGGGAGGATAAGCATGCACAAATCAAGAATATGCATAAGATATATGAAGACGCAGAGTATGTTGCCGTGGTGTTGACGGGAGATTATGGCCGGCAGCTAACCTCCCTGCGTCGTCTTACGGAACTGCTTATTGATTTAAAGAGCTTGGGCCGGGAATGTACGTCATCTCGTCATTGTACTTACCTTAAAACCATGGAGGGGATTGAAGAAGCGGCAGTTGTTGTGAACGAAATGCAGTGGTTCAAGCGTGTGTGGACGTTGCAAGAAGCTATAGTACCAGCATTTCTCACCTTTGTAGGATTTGATCAAGATGGGAAGCTGAAGCGCGATGTAACAACAATGGATGAAATTAGGGAATTTATTCATGCATTTGATCTTGTATGCGACGTGGGGACTGAATACTGGGCAGGATCGCTTACGCATCCCTGCACTTTGTCTGTTATCGACTGTTTAGGTGTATGCCAGAAAGTTCGCGACATTGTGAATTTGATGACGCCAATTAATCTCAATTGGTATAAAGACACGAAGCGGTTGAAGGAGCGGAGAAGATGCTTGGAATACACTGCCTATAGAGTTTTCAAGCAGCTTCATAAGCGTGACTGCAAGTTCATTCATGATCGAGTTTATGGTGTGTGTGCTCTCTTGGGTATAAAGATAAGTCGCGTGGACTATAAAAGAGAATATGAAGATGTGTTCATTGAGGCTGTAAAAAAGCTCGTAGAGCGTGGAGTCTGTGCCCTCCCGCTGCGACCTCAATTGGTCCATGGGAACACATGGTTACCAAGCTTGAAGGATGTAGACCTAAAAGATGCGTGGAAGTTGGTTAAATCAACCTGTGCGATGAATGAAGAAGAAGATTCCTACCACAATCTAGTGTGCGAGGGAGATCGTGTATATGCAACGGGTGGATTGGTCCAGATGGTCAATCCTTTTAAACTCCGGACAAGCATGGAGACCATTGGAAAGATCTTGCAAGACTTTGTGGAGGCTGTGCATGTTGAAAAGGATTTTGATCCAGTTGGCAGCATTCAAGACCCTGCTTTGCTTACAATTACATGTGTAGTGCTATGGATGTTTCGCAACCGTGGAAATGATGCTGAAGTCACAACAAGGGATGTAGATACCGTAATACTTTCAGTATACAATAACAAGAAATCTGCAGATGAAGTTGAATCGTCCAAGGACAAGAATAGGTGCAACATCTTGGAGGAATTTGGCATTGCTGCATCAGATATCAAATGGCACTTGGACACACAAAAGTTAACCACATCGCAGGTGGTAGCGAACATACTAGAAGCTTGTGCCTTAGTGCCACTAGAAGACAACAGCGCACATAAAATTGCGTCATTGGTCGACCGAGATGCCATATTAGTGGTCAAAAAGAAACTTGGGTTTGTGTTGTGCAGCGTGCCTTCGTCGGTGCAAAGTTCCTACGATACTTACGGTTTCTTCTACAAGTCATCTTTGGGCGTCAGAGTGCGTGAGATTAGTTGCAATGTGCTTGTACTGAATGGTGATGACGTGTGGGACAATTATGGCGACGCGCTCTGTTGGTACATTGGTAGGGTGAGGAATATTTGCAAGAGGCGTATATGTGTTGGTACAATACACTGATACTTTAGCTTGTTGCCCTACTTAGATTAACGTCTCTGCTTCTTTCAAACTCTCAATTCACATCCTTCTAGCTCCAGTCTCAGAGGATGAAAGCTGCTTAGGGTTTCTGCTTAGACAAGCATTTGTGAACCCCGTCACAAGTTTGTTAATGATTCGCGCTAAGGTCTTTCGTCAGTTATGATGATAGGAGTAGCTTAATTGTGGAGGAAACATGTCTAGAATGGCAAAGTGGCATGGTGCAAAAGCTTCACTCCCAAGATTGTTATGGAATTTAGTGGACACCAAGATCTTCGGTGTGCCAATAATTGTTCAATACTTGCTTGTGTTTTTAACTGGGCCATTACCTTGATTAAGATGTTTTGGAAATATACAGCAAATGCAGATGTAGTCGGTAAGAACAGAAACAAGTTCAACTGACGAGGTTGTTACCATGGTTCATGGACTCGTGCTGCTATGACTTAGTCACATATAGGTGTATATTAGCTAGGGTAAATTAATGATGAGGTCTGTGCACTTAAGCTCTGCTTTAGGTCAGCTCACTGTCTGGGATGACATTCATACGATTCTTCATAATCAGTGTATCTTTGCGTACATACTCTCGAGACCACAGAAGTCCTAAGATGATTCTGGCATTTGCTGCACATATTTGCCTCCATTTAGATGTATCCATAGGTTCCTAGAAACTGGGGGCTCAGCTTCAGGAGGCAAGTTGCAATCACCAAGCCTCTTTAAACTAGGGCTTTCTTTGAAATACCTAATTTTGCTTATTTTAGGGACGAGGCTAGGTTTTATTTTAGGTAAATTGCAAATGGATGAAATTCATCTATAGAGCTGTCCAAAAACATCTATCTTCATCAAATTTGACACACTCTTTTGAATTGTTGAGTGCAAGCTACTCTCAAGCAAGAAGTCCATGAGGCATTGTCAATACTTGTTCTTTTTCTACTTAATCATAGAGAAGTCAAATTTTTTAGTTCTTGTATTAGGAAAAATGGAGGCTAGCATGCCACAAAAATTTTGAAGTTGTGGAAACCATCCATTATAATGAACCCATCCAATGTGAAATTTTGTTTGCAAATCAAAGCATTTTTCAATAGCGTTCTTAAAGATCATCTCCTTGTTGTAAGCGAGTACTATGGCTTGGTGGTCATTCTCAATATCTTCAATGGATTAAGCATCTCACTCAGCCAATTCCAACCCTAGCTTGTGCCAATGGATGGAAATATATTAAAGAGTATTAAGGACATGAATCTCAAAGAAAGAAATCCTCAATACATTCTTGTGTCACTAAAAAGAACTAGAATGTCACTCAAAGATGATATAATATTGGACTAGAATAACTATTGCTAAAAATATGAAGATTAAAAAGTCTTAAACAAGACTAAGGACAAGAAAGGCATTGATAAAAGTAAAGAAGGCTTCACTCTTGCCTCCACATATACTCTTAATTAGGAACTACATTGCAATGTCATATAAAACCTCCAAAACATGTTGCCTTTGCAAAATACATAGCTTAACTTGTAAGGTAAATTTTCTATATGTACACCACATAATTAGGTTTCTCTATAAGCTACCAACACATGGTTAACTTATTAACCAAGTTTTTAACCTACCAATCAACTACAAACATATATAAAGTAAAAGTAATATCTATAAAGTTTCTAAGAAGCTTCTCTGGAAGGTATTATGAAATTAACCTATTTTTATCTATTTTTATTACTTCTACCTAATCATATAGGTATTTATTAGAATACATATGTAAATCTATGACATAGAGATATTTATAGTATACTTAAATTATGAGATAGAATGTTCAAAATATCCTTGTTGTTGGCATCATTGTTGCGATTATATTAGACAATAATAAACACAATCCCATTAATAAGCCCAACAAACATGATTGCGACATTATAAACTATGACCTCAATCTCAATTGCAAGCAATGAAATTATGAGGCTTATCATGAGGATGCCTTGATCTTAAATAAAAGCCTCTTTATTTATAAGAGCCACAAAGCAAGATCTACAAATGACTAGATTTGAGGCATTATAAGCTATGGTTGGAGTCTCGGCATTGTACAGACCTTGTACTTTGTACAAATCCACCAAAAATTGAATCAAGCCTTTGAATTGGACTTTCTATTGATTTAAAAGGATACTCAATCCTTGCAAACATGTTACAATAGTGTAGATTACTTCTGCAACATTGTCAAGTATAAGTAGTACCACCATCTAAGAATGGACGAGAATATATGTAAATACCTTCTATATAAGATACTTGCAAATCATCAAGTGCTCTTGCCGTAAAAATCTATTCAATTTTTTTTATAAATGACCACTGCATATCTACGAATTTTGGACATGTATAACCTATCTTCTTGATGAGATTGTACTATTGATAAAGATAAGAGATGAAGCATGTCAAGATGTTGATAAACTAGTCATCATATAACTTGAAGTATTCGGCTTGAACCTTTAAGATTAAGATGGTACAAAACACACCACACTCATATAATTCCATCACCAATTACCTCAACCATCTTTATCACAATGCCAATAATTTGTCCAATCATTATTCACACTCCATCTATGTTAATTTCAATTAGTTGTATCCTCCATTTTGAAGCTACGACATCCAAAAGTTTTGCATTTGCAGCAAAGATTACTTTCGCTATCTTGTGATTAAAAAGTAGAATGGCAAGGAGGTGGAGCTTGTACAACTTTGATTGATGTTCAAATTGGACTTGGAAGTCAAGATAAGAGGTATTTTATTTTGAGCCAACATCAAAAGCAAGCAAAAATGCCCAATGTTTGTAGAAGAGCTTGAAGATTTTTTGTAAGCTCACATTATAAAACACCTTCATAAATGAAGCTACATGATCTTCATTACATCTACTAAAGCAACCCATGTATGACATGGCTTTTGTGACATCTATAAGACATGCTATCATTTGAAACAAGGCTTCACAAGAGACAAAGCTAATCACAAGATGGAACAACTGTAAAAAATTTATTTCTACCTTGTATGCTTTGTGGTTCAAATCTTGCTCTTTACAAAGCTCAATTTTATCATTGTTTGTATCTTTGAGCAACTTAAAAATTGAAAATGCCCATCTATGAATTGATGTGAATTTCTTATCATCTACATTGAACAATATATTATCAATAATCATGTCCACAATGTCTCAATTGATTATAAACATGAGTTCCTTCTTAGTCAGAAAATGAGGTGCAAGGATGTGTTTGAAATTTACTTGGTAGAAAAACTACTTCTTTAAGACATCTATGAGGACATTGTATTCTATCCATGCTTTAACATGCTGCAACTTCATATGTATCGTGATATTGTTTGTGCAAAAAAGAATTAAAAATGTTTCAACCTTCACTATTTAGTTCTTTTTATGCCCTATGAAATTGACTTCTTTATGGTTGAGCTTCTCACAAAACAAGTATTGCATTGATAGAATTTGGTTAGTGTTCTCATTTCATGTGTTCGATGCAAGGCTGAATTTTGTCTCTATAGAGAATTTCTTGGAGGTCTGTAATTCCTTCACCATGGTGAACTTGACGTGCATTCCTCAATATGACTGTTGTGACTACAGATTGATATTCTTCAACATGGATCGCGTCATGTGATACCTCCTTCAACCATATAAAAGAATATTATTTGAGGTTTATTTTAGGACATCTTGCTAAGCTTATTTTAAGAAAATTAGGATATTTTAGAAAAAAGTCTCAATTTAAAGAGGCCTAGTAATCACATATGATGACTCTACAAAACTCATGTATGTATGTCGGATGCAACTTATTGTTGATGGTGTGGCTATATCAATGAAGTTTTTTTCCAAGGATGAGAGTGGTGACAATGGACTTATTCCTTTTTTAGAAAACACATTGTCTCATCCATAGATCCTTTGAACGAAGTCCTTTCAAATAAAAAAATTAAAAAAATTAAAAACAATCTAGTTATTTTTTATTTGTGATAATTTTGTATATGGTACAAAATGTGCCATTTTAGTGGAACAATTTACTATCACAAATATAAACTCATAAGAATTTGAGATTGAAATATCTATAATAAAATCTATAAAAATAAAAAAAATGATCATAATTGTTCTATTATAGGTAGTAGATAAAAAAAGTCCATAAGGTCAATGACAAGGAGTTTTTGATTTTAAAAAATAATACATGATTGTACAAAGTCTTAAACCATCTTTGACATTTGAAACCACCATAAATCTCTTAAGATTAATTCCAAAATTTTATTGTATTTAAAATACCATGTAATTAAAAAATTATAATAAGCTTGAAGAGCATATAATTATGCTTTGCTTTCTAGAATATATAAGTGTCCCTCAAAATAAAGAAGGTTATCCTTGAATTTAAACTTAGAAGTATCTTAAGCTTTGGAAGAAATACTCTTGATATTATGCACAAAAAGATCTCAAAATACAATTGATTGAATTTGATAAGAAATGCTAAATAAAAAATCAATATTGATTTTATTGCTCAAAGTTAAAATTAATTAAGATTTAATAGAATTATTTTTTATTTATCAAAAACTATATTTCTTCTTTTTGGTATAAGTTAAGAATATTTGAAAATGTTATGTAAAAAGCTTTATAATTGATATATCCTAAGAAATTAACTTAATTTGTATACTATATATATTATTCTATCTTGGTGTAAAGTCTTGCATCTCTTAATTTTTGTAATACACAATAAAATTTAAATTTAAATTCTTATGTTTTTTTAGAATATATTAAAATATTAAATAATATTAAATAATAAAATCATATAAAACTCTTAAAAAATATCACTCAATAGATATTTATAAGTTACTTATACATTTATCAATCAAAAGGTATGAAACTATATTCAAAATATCCACACTTTGTCTATAATGTAATATTTCATTTATTTCTTTCTATAATGCATATTAAATTGTATGCTCTTTATAGATCTATTTTTACATAGATATTTTTTTGATTTAATTAATCAAAATTTTTTAATATTTAAGGCACAAGGCACATATTTTTTATTCTAAACTTATTAAGTTTTTCATAATCTATGGACATTTGTAGTGATTTGTCTTTTTTCTTTTTAATTGAAATAGGAATTCCTACAAAAGATTTTGAATAGTGTATCAATTTTTTTGCCAAATTTTCATCAATATATTTCTTGAGTGAAGCCAATTATTTTGTATTAAGTTGTAGATTGATCCAAATGGCAATTGAGCTCATTCTTGAAGAGGAAGTGAATGATTATAAGGACAATGTTATAGAATAATATTTTCATTTTTATTTTTTAAAATATCCTAATAATATTTATATTAATTTAAAATATCATTTAAAGTCTTTTTAAAATTAAGAATAAACGTGGCATAAATAATAAAAGACAACATTCTTTTGTAGCATACATAAAACCTCTTACATCTCAAAATAAGGATTTGATTATATTATACTTATTACTTTTTATTTGATCAGAAAAAATCATAATTATGCTATAAAAAAAAGCTGAGATTGTAAAAAAATCCAATCCATCAAAAGATTATATTTTTTTAGCCACAATAAATCTAAAATAATTAGATTTAAAAGTAATTTAATTATATTAAATAATATTTAGTTTTTATAATTATTTGTTGCTACTTCTATATAAATAATTTTATGGCTAGTATTTCTAAAAGATAAAAGAAAATCATTTATAATTTATATATGCATAAGCTTTGTTTTTTTTTATTAAAAATATATTATATCTTTTAATAAATTCTTCATTTAAAAAACATGTTGAAGCTTTTAAATCTAATGAAGCAAAGGCTTTGTAATTTTTAGGTCCTAAAGAAGTATGTACTATAAAACAAGGAGAGAGTATTGAAGAGAGAATAGGACCTTTATTAGATATTCTACAAGATTCCAACTTCACAATTTTTATTATAGTTGGACAAATTTGTTTTCCAATACATAGTCTTTATTGACAATTATACTCCTCATTTTTTAGTTGTGTTACTTCTTTAAATAATGTTAAGCAGTGTCCTTAGGTTCTCTATAAAATAAACACAATCTTTTTTAACAACATCGAGTTTATTTTGCTTAATGAGAGGTTTATTCTTTCTTGATCATTTTCTTCAAATGTGGCTATAAATTATTCTAAGAATGAATTTAGATTATATAGGAGTTATAAATATGTTTCTATCAAATGTACAAAGTAAAAGAGTACATTTCCAAATAGGAATTTACATATAAATCCAACTTGAGTAAGTCCATTAAGATATCAAAAAGGATGTAATTTTAAATAAAACTTGATTTGTTGTAAAAATCTTCAAAATTTTGATCTTGTTTCATCAAACTTCTTTAACATACTAATCTTTGTCTCCTTTATACTTGTAGTAATAATGCATTTTGGATTCACTTGTAAGACTGATTTCCTTGCTTCCCTATATTATTTAATTTCTTAATGTAGACATTAGACTTCATTATTGATTTCTTCTATATGCCAAAGAATAGTACTTCCATAGTTGAAATTATTAATATGTGAAATTTTTATTTTAAGAATATATGCAAGTTTGTCAAGATTTGTAATAGTTGCAGATCTACTCTTACTTCTATCAAGTATATCATCTATAAAAAAATTCTTTGCATGTCTATAATAGATAACTTTAACAAATCTACAAGTCAAATTAGAAGAAGGTAATCAACAACTTTTAATATCAAATCAAAATTTCTACAAAGAAGAATAGTTATTCTATTATAAGAAAGAATCAATGTTAGAAAATTAAAAAATATTAATTTAAAAGTGAGTAGTATTAAATTTTCAAAACACAATAATAAGAAATAATATAATCCATTCATTTTTATATGTTAATAATAATAATAATAATAAATAAGAATAAAAAATTAGACTTTTTTCAAACAGTTTAAGACATGAATCATAAAAAAAAACTCTAAAGAAGCAATATATTCTTTTAGCACTCAAAAAGAAAAAGTAGACAAATTAAAGATAAACATAAGATAGAAATTAGAATGGCTATTGCAAAATACAAAGGTACTAAAGATTCTAAAGCTAAGACAAGAACACAAAAGAAATATTAATAAGAATGAGGAAGGCTTCACTCTTGTCTCCACATATGCTATCTAATCAAAGAGATATGTGGTAATTTTTTATAGACCATCTGACTTATCTCCAACTTACAAGATATATATGTAACTTATAACACAAGTTCTTTACATGTGCAATACATTTCTAATTTGTTATCCAAATTTTTAACCTAATAATTACCTATAAATAAAGTCAAATCTTCATTTACAAAGCTTCTAAGAAGTTCTTTTATAAGATATTATCAAGTTTACTTACTTTTATTTCTATCTAACTTTTCATATTGTCATAATTATTAATACTAACGTTGATGTCCATAATAGCCTTTCGGCTACTTTTGGATGCCTTTTGGAACAAAAAATCTTATACTTTAGCTATTTTACTTTATCATTTCTCAAACAAATAAGATATATGTCTCAATATGGTTCCAAAGGTGGGTTTTGTAACTTCTATCACTTTAGCTTGCCTTATGGACTTGAAAGTGGCCACAACTCATAACATTTGAGCTAAAGCTAAATTAACTTTGTAAAATACTATCATAAAGCTAAATATTTTAATATTTTATTTATATTTATAATAAAATAAATATTTATCTAATTTAAATTTTATTATCCAATTTTTAATAATGAAATGAATGTTGAATAAGAATAAGTTTTATATTTAAAGAAAATTAGTTATATCAAAAAATATATACAGATAAATGTTCAAATATGACATATAAATATTTAAATTAGATTTTATGAATTTTTGGTATGTCTTGTTGTTTTATGATATAAGTTTATAAAAACATCAACTTCCAAGAATTGCATGAATTTTAAACAAGATTTGAGAAATAGCAACTTGGTGATCATCAAGATAATTGGATATAATATTTTATATTTAGATCTTTAAAAAAATCATTTGAATACGGCTCAATGACCACTTCAATAACAACACCTTACACGTTATTTTGAGCAACATGTTTATAAATCACTACATTTCACCAAATTCAAATACAACAAGTCTAGTTACATTTTACAAGGGCATCAAGTCTATATAAGTTATGACACATTAATATTTATTTTTCAGCAATAGAGCAACATAATAGCACATGCAACAAGTCTTGCTTCTTTTATATTTCTATTATCTTTGAATCTTTAGAATAGAGTAAATTATTTTACATATTTCATTATAATAACTTCTTTATAAATTTTTATGATTTTTGAATTTCATTACTAAAAACAATTAACTCTTTAATTAGAGTCCAAATAATCTTTGTAATTTTTATAAATTTATCTTCAAATTTTTTTAGAATTGGGTAAATTATTTCATGTATTTTGTAACTTTCTATTCTTTTTAAGATAAAATTCATTTTCTTTATTTGAATTTTGATATTTTCTTTTTTGGTGATTGAATTGGATGTAATTGTTAGTGATGTGCAGACCATAGATTCTTATCAACAAACCCAACCTACAATGATTTGGCTATATGGAATATGGACAATGGCTGGCAAAGAGCTAATATTTGGTGAGGGTTGGCAATTTGGAGTTGGCACAAAATTGTCATTTGTTTTGTCGAAAGACATAAAGTAAGTTCTCTCGTAGATATAGGCCAACATTCTGCAGTTTTGACAGGCATTGGTTTGTCATTTCTCATCTTGCTAGCCATGCTTGAGCTTCTTCGCCACACTGGCGACATACTTGCCCTGATGGAAAGCTTGTTCGAGCTCAAGTTTGGAAGGTTGGCGAGTGCCATCACCAGCAAACGTGCCGGACCCATAAGCAGACCCACCTTTAGGTTCTGCCAGGTTGAACATCCCTGAACCTCCAGTGTATCCCGTAGGAACAAATATCATTCCATGGTGTGCAAGTTGAGTTATTGCTGTCAGCCTGCCGCTCAGATTCACGGGTGAGCGTTAGAATCCATCAATTCAAAAACAGATGTTTAGTTCACTGCCTATTGTATTTGATGTTCCCGTTTTTGGTTTCTCACGAAATCTCTCTAAAAAGCGCTTTTTAACGGACGAGGGTTTGTGATTGTGTACCAGGAAAAAACCTTAGGTTGAATTTGAACTGGAATTCCGAATTCATGAGTACAGTTCATAGAGTAGATATTGATGAATGTATGTGAAGTGCAGGAAAATGTACGCAGAAGTTTCTTGGCCGCCACCTTGGGTGCCTGTTGATACAAATAACCCAGCTGGCTTTCCTGCCAAAGCTTGAGTTCGCCACAAACCGCCCGTTGCATCCATGAAGGTCTTAAACTGGGCACACATCATGCCATATCGTGTGGGGAATCCGAAGAGAAACCCATCAGCTTCTGTCAATTGCGCGATTGGTATGATAGGGTGCTCAGCATTCTTCGCCGGTGCTCCCATCTTGTGCAATACCTCTGGCGGCAGAGTCTCCGGAACCTTGATGAATTATCCCACCGATCACCAGTCCCACAAAAAGGAACGTTACACTGCGCTTACCGAAGTCTTATGTTTTTCAAGTTCGTTTTCGTATATTCTATTAAAAAAATCATGCAAAGATTGTTTTCTATGGGTTTGCTTGTGCTGCTCACCTGGAACAAACTGGCTTCGACACCGTCGACCGTCGATGCTCCCTTCTTTATCTCTTCGGCCATTTTCGCAACGTGGCCGTACATTGAGTAATATCTGAACCCACCGTGACAGATTTCATTGTCAAATTTCAGTGTTCACAATGGAAAATCTCAAACCCAATGCGTGCAGCATATCCCCTGGTGTCCACCAATATTTCCGTGTGAAAATAGGATTGAAGGTTTTTGAGAGATGCGAAAACCGCTCGCCACGATGGGTATCCTCTCCAATTGCGCATCTTCCTCCGGACAATCCGTTCCTTGCCGTTCCAATTTCGATGAGTCAAATTCATACAAGACCCCATTTGTGAGGTGGGCTGCCGCAACCATGCATAGAAATGGAGGGGTCATCGCAGAACCATGCGCACCCGCGCCACAACATTCTTCACGATTCAGGTCGATCGAGATCTCGAAATCATCTGAAAAACTGATTTCACAAACAAGTGCATGTTGGGTCACAAGTGCAATGGGAATGGTGGCACATACACGATGTAGAGCTTGGTGGTCGCCATAGTTGCAAATCGTTCCGCCGACATCGACGTGCTCAACAATAGCTTACAGAGAATCCCCTGAAGTCATCCTGGGGTTATCCTAAACTAAAAAATTGCAATGCAAACCGCTCGACTAAACACCAGGGTGATGTTACTTGTAAGATAGAGATCTCCTCCTCCACACGATGATGTTCATCAGAAAGCACTACGTCATACACAACCGCAAGTGGGTCGCGTGACCTAATGGACAAGGCGGTTAAACAATGGCCGCAGGATCAAATGTTTGATCTCTATCACAGTCGGAATGTGGTTATTTAATGCAAAACCAGCTGTGCAATAAAATGCAGGTATTAGTGTTACCTTCTTAATGTACGCGTATGCACGTAACATTCTCCTGCCTCAGCTTACAACACTCAAATTTATTTATACAGATACAAATAAAAATGTAAGAATTTCTTGACTGCAAACATTGATAAAAACCCACCAAGGATATCTCATACCATTTCCCTGTTGAAACTTTGAATGTCCCTTGACTGAATAACAGTACATGATTCATCACGCGCAATGAAATGCACCAAATTTCCAAATGTTGGATATCAAGCATGCCTTGAAACAAAGAGAGAACGTTGTCCTAATTCGCAAGAAATATGTCTATACTGTTCCTCAAAAATGTCAGAATCTATTTCCCGCTGTTTTCACTGTCTACAGTGTCTTCACAGGCATCCAAAATCAATGGTACTGCATCAGCGAGGATGCTCAACTTGCCCAATTTTTCAACATCATCGACGCATTAGTCAGTCTTGGGCCCCAGACTGAGTCATTTGATTCTTACTTGAGCTTGGAACAACAAATTATAAGCTACAGAGTTCTAGGTTCTAACCTCAAGTAAGAATCAAATGATACAAAACTCACTGGTCTTGTGAGATAATTAGTAATTTTTTGCTTTTGCATATGAACTTTAAGTAAAGAATCATGTTCTTTGTGAAATTTGGAAATATTACCTGCATTAACCAAGTGCCTGTGCCTAATTCATCTGTGTTGAGAATGTTTAGAAAGACACAAGAGTAATAGTAAGTAATACACACAAGAGTAGTAGTAAGTCATGCACACAAGAGGGTTTCTAAGGAGAGAAAGCTTCACACATAAAATTCTATTGATCTAGTTGTGTCTCGTATACAAGAAGAAAAAAAGGGAGAGGATAAACAGTACTTCTCCACTAGACTCTAAATACTATAGCTACAATATTTATTGTAGTCTACATTAAATATTATGGAAAGCATCGGCTACATTTAATGATCTCAACACTCTACCTTGCTCATCATAATATTTACATAATATAAAATTTGTATAGAATTATGATCTATACTTTTCAGTGATCTTGCAAGATCAACAATTGTTGCCTCATTAAAACCTTATCTAGGAAAAACCTTATTGTATTTAAGGACAAAACCATAGATGAAGGAAAAAGAGTACAACATTATTTTTTTTAATTATTTAAAGAGCTCATTAACTTTCTTATTCAAGAAAAGCAAGTCGCCGCATACCAATGCTACAAGTAAGTTGATAATGGTTGCACAATGGGAGAGCTTTGGTGAAGAGATCAGCAAGATTATTTGTAGATTCAATTTTTTTAATTATAAGTGCTTGATGAATAATCAAGTCATAGGTATAACTAAAATACTTTGGATCAATATGCTTTTTCTTGTCACCTTTAATGAAACCAACTTGCATCTGTGCAATACAAGCACTATTATCTTCATGCAAGATAGTTAGAGAATCATCATATGAAAATCCACATGTTGTTTGAATGAATTTATCAATTGATCACAACCAAATATATTCTCAAGATGCTTCATGTAAGGCAACAATTTTTGCATGGTTGGATGAAGTTGCAGTTATTGTTTGTTTTATTGATTTCCATGATATTGCAGCTCTATGTCTGAAAAATACATATCTTGTTTGAGATTTAATTGTTGCAGTATCAGATTTATATCCTGTATCATAATATCCAACCAATTTTGAATCTGCGGATTGTATGTAGTATAATTCCAAGTCTTCAATACCTTTTAAATAACGTAATAAATATTTGATGCCATTCCAATGTCGTAGTATTAGACGTGCACTATGTCTTGTAAGAATACTAATTGCAAATGCAATATCTAGTCTTGTAGATGTAGCTAAATACAAAAGTGCTCCAACTGATGCAAGGTATGGATATTGATCTCTCAATATTTCCTCCTCCTCCTCGCATGGACGGTATGGATCATGACCATCACGACCACGTCCAACCATTGGTGTGGACAATGGATAAGCATCAATCATATTAAATCTTCACAAGATTCGTCTAATATACGTTAGTTGGTAGAGAAAAATGCTACCATTTCTTAGATGCATAATCTGAAGACCAATGCAGAAAGTTGTTTTTCCTAGCATTTTCATCTCAAATTCAAATATAAGTAGGTTAATAGCTGTAACACATGCAGATGTAGTGCCTACTAGATTAAGATCATCAATATATATAGCGATGATTACAAAACCAGTTTTATCTCATTTGATAAACAAACAAGGGATTAGTAGATCACTTATAAAATTATTTGTAATTAAATAATCTCAAAGACGTTGATATTATATGCATCCGGATTGTTTTAAACCATATAAGGCCTTACATAATTTAATACCACAATATTATTTTGGAGCAGTGTCGTATTACGTGCTTTCCTACTCGAGAACGCACTGGGCGTCTGGCTGTAGAAGGTAGTATGGAGATTCGCCAATATTCAAGCAGTTTATCGATTTTTGACTGTTGGAATATAAACAACTGCAAGAATACACCGTAAATCTATACCGATGCCCTTCGACTGCTTGTCGAAGTCCTTTTTGTCCTAGCCAGTAGGTCTCTAGACGTTACAGAGAACCCCGAACAACCCAAACTGCTAATCTTCGATACCGCTTTATACTCACGATCTTGTATCCACTGACTGTCTTCTTAGATTAATCCAATAAATTTCATTCACTCTGCATACTCAATCCTATAGACACCTTTTTAATCCTTCAATCGCAGATGTAACTCGATTTCTCAAAACAGTCAAGAGTAATCAAACCTACTTCATTAGAAAAAATCCCGATTCACCATTACAACAATGACTTCAGCAACGATTGCCTCAGTCTTCCCAAAACTCTATGAAGAAGAAAAATCCAATTCTCCGTCTTTTCTTCCCCGACCCAAAGCATGAAGCTCCTCTCCAATCCCTTTAATCTCCAAAAACCTCCAATGAAAACCGAACTAGTAACCTTAAAAAAAAGCTTGAAGCTAGCTCCTTGATCCAAAAAAAAAAAAAAAAAAAAAAAAACCCCGCTCTCTGCTCTGAAAAAAAAAACCCCCCCTCAAAAACTTATTCCCCCCCCTAACCTTATCCTCTGAATTTCTTTAATCTTCCGTCTTGGATCCAGAATTTACTCTCGCCGTCAGAGCTTAGATCCAAAATTGGCTCTCGCCATCAAAGCTTTCTCCTCCATTTTTACCTTTAAGAGATCCATTTACCGAAAACAACGTTTCCTGAAATACAGAATAGGACAGCCTGAAACAGAATCGAACCCCGTAATCGGGACCACATTGAGTTGCTCGACCAATTCAGGTCTCATATTGGATAAGAGTCTAGTAGTAAGACCCGGATTTTCCCGTAATCAGACTGCATTGGGTTGCCCGACCAATACAGGTCTCATATTGGATAAGAGGACCCGTAGTAAGACTTGGATTTTCTCATAATTAGAATGCATTGGATCGCCCGACCAATACAAGTCTCATATTGGGTAAAAAGACTCGGATTGGATTCTCGAAATTAGATCCAATTGGCTCTTCGAACCAAGCTCACCCGTCCCGTGAATTGGTCCTTTCCCTTCCTGCTGACTCCCGTTATTCGAATCGAACGGAGCATTTCAGTATGCCCCGGCTGACTGTAATGGGGTGACTGAACCTGGCCACTCAGTATTTGCACTGGAGTTGGTCGTTGCTCCCAATATTCGAGGTAACTGAACATTAATAAAATTCCCCTTTCTTTTTATTTTCACGGTATACTCGTGCTACAATACGACATCCACCCCCTCTGAACCTGTGCATCCTCTGGTATGCACTAATTTACCCAATTGCGGTTTGATTCAAAATATATCCTCTACGTCTTTGTCCTATTCGTCTTCGTCACCTTCATTATCCAAATCACTTTCATCTTCTTGCTACTGAATTTCTATACCTTCATTATGGTCTTCCATATTCATCTCTGCGTGTCTTCGTTTAAATATTTTTACTCGCTTCCCTGCAATTGGTATTTTCAATTTTGTACCATCTAACTCCCGTAACGAGTAAGTCGCATTATCATGAACTGTTGTTACCACATATGGTCCAAACCAATGTTTTGAAAATTTTTGCAAAGTACTATGTTGATTATCCAGACTATTGTCATAAACAAGTACCCAGTCACCTTCCTCGATTGCTTTTGGTCTCAATCGATGTTGCTTATTGAATCGCGCCTTGTTTTGTAACCTTGCTCTTTTTAACCTTTCCAATGCTATCTGGACATCTTCCGTTCTTTGCTCCAATGGTCGAATCCTAATAGCCAAAAGTTCTTCTCTTGTCAATCCATCTTTCCATGGTAGCATACTCTAAGTAAGTACCTTTTCTTCAATCGGCATAATTGGTTTTGACCTGTCATAAGTTCTACAGGCATATATCCTGTCACCGAACTATACGTTGTTCGATCAGTCCATAATGCAAATGACAAAAGCCGTGGCCACTCTTTAACTTTTCCATTACAAGCTTTAACTAATGCTTTCACAATCGGTGGGTGACCACGTTCGCTTTTTGCATTCCCTTCTGGATTATAAGCAGTAGTCAGTGATAGTTTAACTCCACATCTTTCAAAGAACTTACGAGCTTCTTGCGCATTTAATTCTCCACGATGTGCAGTGATTCTTTCCATGCATCCGTAGCGGCAAATGACATCTTCAAGCAAAAACCTACAAATCCCCTCTGTAGATTTTGTCCTCAATGCTCTTCCTTCTACTTGATTTGATAAATCTTCTCGAGCTAAAACCAAATATCTCATCTGCCATAACCCAACCGGCATAATAACCAAATCAACAACCCATTTAAAATGAATAGCCAGAGGATACGTAGGATGAAGACCATCTCGAGGTCGGATATTAGAATATGATTGATAGATTTCACATGACTCTACAAATGAGAGTACATCTCGATACATATTTTTCTACCA